ACATCCCGCCTCCTAAGGTTTGTATTTTCATAACAATTTTCCCCCTGAGGTTTATATTTCATAACAAATTACCCTCTAATTTCTTATGCAAATATATCATTCAGGGGGGAATTTGGAATTTCTCAATTCTCAGGGGGGTATTTGTAATTTAGCCAAACCTCAAGGGGGTATATGTAATTTGCCCAAAACAAAAATAAATAAATAGTGAATTTGGAAATAAGAATCTTGATTTTTGATTACAACACGGTATGTTGTATGTCAAAAATTGGGTAAATTACACTTTGCCCCTCTAAAGTTTCACCAATTTCTTACTTTGGCTCTTTAAGTTTGATTTTTCTCACTTTAGCCCTTTGTGTTTACAATCCTTCCCACTTTGATCCTTCAGGTTTGTAATCATTCTCACTCTGGCCCTTTAAGTTTGATTCTTCCCACTTTGGCCCTTTATATTTGCAATCCTTTTCACTTTATTCCTCACGGTATGTGCATTCAAGTTATTACTCACAACCTCTGCTATGATCTCTAGCCTCATATGTTTTATAGGAAATTATTCGATAATAATGTGGCATAGGATGTAAATACTATTACACCTCAAGCTCACTAAAAGTTAAAAACCCAGGAAAACCATCTTTGTTTTATAATTTGTCATTTGTTTGATTCATTAAGTTTTTCAGACTCAGTTTATATCTGGAATATGAGTCAGTGTTCGCTGGCTATGGGTCGACTCACCTCTGGTCTCAAGTCAATCACTCTAATAGTTTGTGCTGGAGCTTTCATTCAGTTAATTGTACTGCTTTGGCTTCTACTGAAGTACAGGTTAGGTTTCTTGTTGATTCCAATTAAAGTTATTTAGAATCTAAAGTTTTTAACTTGCATTACACTCGAGAAACTCTGACCTTCATTGTACGAAAAAAATTATTTAATGTTAAATTTCTCTTTTGCATCTCTAATGCAATTTTAGCTATAAGTTAGCAGTGAAAAATAAAGATGGCAGAAAGATGAGGAGAGTCCTATTTATTATGAAGTGAATGATGTTTTTTTCCTTTTCCCCCCCTCTTTGGCTAAGGGAGGCTTTCCCTTTTTCTTTTGTTTCTTTAATAATTTCTTTGGTGGACGTTTTAATGATAGTTTTTTTTTTTATTTAAAAAAAAGGGGATAAAATCGAGGGTCCCAAACCTTATTCAATAGTCTTGAAATCAATCAATGCAGAGAGTTTCAAGAGGAATGACTTCCCTTAGTTGGTTTGAGTGGCATAGCCCATTGGAGTAGTTGTCTAACCGTGGGAAACAATTGTATAGCCATGTTGACAATTAGAGCTATAGAGTTTTCGACATGGTTGGCTCCCATTTTTGGCTTTCCTTTTGTTAGAAAATTTTGTCAAGTTGACAAACTTGACCGTTCCATTCTGCGAATCCTTCACACCGCTACCCAAGTATTCGAAGGGTATCAAGGTCTAAAAAAAAAAGTTGATATAGAATCCAACACATGTCAAAAAGTGTCCGATGAGTGCTAGTGTCGGACACGCATCGAACATGGATACGCACCTTCTTAGTAGTGTCAAGAAGTGTATGTGTTTCTTGGGGTGTTCAATATATATATTTTTAAGATAGCAAATAAAATATTAAAATATATATAAATTACTTGTATTGAAAAAATAAATAAGGATATTCAATGGCACACCTTTAATCTTATGTAGTGCCGTCCTTGACAGCAATATACCACTATCTTTCATTTGGTTGTGGAAAATTTGAAGCATTGTAGATTCTACCTCAGTGTCAGAATCTATGATTTTTTTATTCTTTTAACACACTCGCATCTTTAATTTGTTATTCTTTCTTTCACATCACTGCAGGGGGGAACTACCAGTGGCAGTGGCATAACTTTACTATATATTGTGTTCCTTTGTAGTATGACCTTAGGTACCATACTCATGTGCTTCTTACAAAAGAGGGATGCTAAAGGAGAGGAGATTTTACCAGATTCTTCTGTCAGTTTCTACTCTTCCATGGTTTCTTTGTCGAAGTCTATCATCGCTCCATTGTTTGACTTACGAATGCTATTAATCATCCCCCTTATTGCATATTCAGGCCTACAACAAGCATTTGTATGGTAATTGTTGATTAACTTATGACATTTTACTTTTTTATTGTCCTTTGACCATTCAATTTGTGCACTATATACATTGTAACATTTTCTTCAATTAAGCATGGAAAGCGTTTACAATTTTAGGGCTGAATACACCAAGTACATTGTGGAACCTGCACTTGGTGAGTCAGGTGTAGGTGGTGCTATGGCAGTGTATGGGGCTTTTGATGCAATTGTAAGTATGGCAATGCAGAAATGAGTAGCTTTATGGAATGGTTTAAATGATTTAGCTCACTTGGTGCGTCTGTTTCTGTTTTACGTACATTAATTTTGACAAGGCATGTTCTTCGTCTCTTTCTTGTTGAGTTGGAGAAATAAAAATGAATTAAGTGAACAACTTTAAATTTCATTAACCCTTTCCTTTTGTAAGGAACAAGAATAACAAATAATATATATCCTTTTCCATATTTATTCTTTATGAGTTGTGTTGTGTGTTTGCAACAATATACAAAATTTCATTTATTGATGGATAATCATATGCTATGTTCTGTTCCATAATCTTATTTTTCCCACGGTATGTGCATTCAAGTTATGTAATCACAACCTCTGCTATGATCTCTAGCCTCATATGTTTTATAGGAAATTATTCGATAATAATGTGGCATAGGATGTAAATACTATTACACCTCAAGCTCACTAAAAGTTAAAAACCCAGGAAAACCATCTTTGTTTTATAATTTGTCATTTGTTTGATTCATTAAGTTTTTCAGACTCAGTTTATATCTGGAATATGTGTCAGTGTTCACTGGCTATGGGTCGACTCACCTCTGGTCTCAAGTCAATGACTCTAATAGTTTGTGCCGGAGCTTTCATTCAGTTAATTGTACTGCTTTGGCTTCTACTGAAGTACAGGTTAGGTTTCTTGTCGATTCTAATTAAAGTTATTTAGAATCTAAAGTTTTTAATTATATTTATCTGATTTGAAGCTGCTATGACTTTATCAGTTCTTGTTAACTGTGCCATTGTGCAGCGTAACTAGTGGAGTACTTGGCATTTTATACCCCCTTCTCATGGCAGCCGCATTGGGAATTGGGGATGGAATATTCAACACACAGCTTAATGCTTTGCTTGGGATGCTCTTTAAGCATGATATGGTAGTGATTTATTTTGTTTGTTTTACTAAGCCTTTTTTAGTTTGATTTATACTCTTTTTCACACAAGTGTTGACACGAGAAGTGCATGCCTTGAGTTGATTATATGAATAAGTGATGGATATGTGTCCAAAGCGTGTCTAGATCTAAAAAACATAAAAAAAAATAATAAAAAAATTAATGACACATTTGGACGTGTATCCAACACATTATCTTCTTAGAGGTGTTTGTGCTTGGGGGATCTAATTGAGAGGAAGGTGGGATGAAACTATGTATTTATTTATTTATAAAAAATAAATAAATCAGTGGATGTAATTGTGAAAACGTGTGTTTTATGGTTGAAGACAAGGTATATTGAGATTCTTGAGACGTAAATTCCATATATTGACGAAAATTAGGAAAACTTATTCCTTTAGGAAAGTTAAAGATATGGGTTCCACAAGTGTTCTCCTAATTGAACAATTAAACAAATAGGAGAAAATTGACTTTTGTGTGTTGTACTCTTCTTTATAATGTGAGTTATCTTAATGCTTTTCATACTTATGTCTAATTTATTTCTCATTCAAGTATATTAAAGATATCTGGCCGTCACTCTTTCTTGGTCATTTCTTTGTGCAAATGCACTTGCATTTAATTCTCAAATGTTACTTTTGGGGTGTACAGGAAGGAGCATTTGCACAGCTCAAGGTTTGGCAGTGCGTTTCGATCGCAGTTGTGTTTTTTGTGAGCCCGTACATTTCTTTGCATGCCGTGTTGGTGGTTATGCTTGTTGCAGTCTGCATCTCTGTTGTCGGGTTTCTATTCCTCACTCTTATGGTCGAGAAAGCATTCTCTTTTGTTGATTGATTTTTTGCAACCAGATATGTAATCAATATTTGTTGCCAAAACATGTATTATTCACGTCTTGCACATTGATTGCCTCAGAAAGTTGCATCTGCCTGCAAAATCTATTAAATAAGAAAATATGTTCACCTGTTAATGTTTCTTCAAAATAAAAGTATTGAGAGGCTAATTTGAATGTAAATATCATTGATTGTTTTTGGTTTTCTAAAAACATTTTTCAGAAAATTTTATTTTTTGATTTTACGTATTTTTTTATTTTTACTGGATTTTTTAAATATTTTAAGCAATTTTTTTAAAAATTTTTAGACACAATTAACATAAATACATATAAAAAGTATAATTTGTGTGAATTTTTTTAAAAAAAATTCCCTAAATATCAAAAAATTAAATAAATGAGAATTCAGTATATTTTTTGTATTTTTATGTATTTATTAATTTTTTAAAATATTTTTTATTTTTTAGATACATCTAAGTAAGGTGTATTTAAAAAAATAAAAAAATGTTTAAAATTTTAAAAATATTTACTAAAAACAAAAAAAATATGAAAAATAAAAAATTAAGTTTTCAAAAAATTTAATCTAAAAAATTCAATCCAACTACACATTATTGTTCTTTTCTATTGAGAATAGAGGCTATGAGAAAGTTGGCAATCAGTGCAAGTAATATTGTGGAATATAGACGTCTTTTGTAGAGTTGAGTAAGGAATCTGTAAAATTCGTAATCCAATTCAGTCCAGTCCAATTCGATAGGTTTGGATTGATTTTTGAATTCGTGGTTTGGTTGCAGATTGAAGAATTAAAAATCCGTAGTCCACGGATTGGTTCTGGATTGAACCCCACGGTTCTGGATTGGAACCGATCCGGACCGTATACAAATAGTCTACATTTTTATTATACATTTTCTCCCATAATATCTTCTCTTTATTCTATATAAAATCTAAACTCAAACTTAAAATCGTATAATATCTTCTTTTATTAATTTTATTTGTTAGTTTTTAGTTTTAATTTATAATGGTCTAAATATTTATGGTAAAATCAGTTTTCTTATGGTTGTTTAAATTTTAGAACAGTATGTCGCTATTATAGAAAAACATGTTGCTATTGTGGAGTTAATATAACGCTATATTTATATTTTTATGAAATTAAAGTGTTATAAATATATATTTATTTTTTTTGTTATCTAATTATGTGAATTCGTAGTCTTAAACCAATCCAATCCTTATTTAAATGGATTGGTTCGGATTGATTTCATGATTTAAACGGATTGGATTGGTTCCAATTTTTCAGAAATCGTAGATAACGGATTGATCCTGATTTTATCCCAATCCGATTCAATCCGGACCATGTTCACCCCTAATCTTTTGTGTGCTAGGCCTGCCTAAATTGGAACCTAGACTACCTCTTTTATATTTTATTGATTTATGAAAGAGTTTGTTTTTGCTTACACAAACAACTGCATAAATTAAACATGAAAGCGATGAGAGAGGTAAGTGATCTTGGTTTCACACAGTGTTGGACTGGTTTCCATAAAAAAAACCACTTCGAAACTCAATACTTCTTTCTTCTGTGTCTACCATGTTAGTGCGTCATTCACTTTGTTTGATGTTATGCAATTGAATATTTTTGATATTAACATTTTAAGTAAAATTACTAGAGGCAAAATATGATTGATAGTTAAAAAAAAAAAAAAAAAAACAGTAATGCTTGGACATGCAGAAGGTTCCTTTGTCGCCATATCATACATACTGTGGTCACTAGGTACACAGGATTTATTTTTAATTTTTTTTTTTTGAGTTATAGTTTTAGAGTATCGTTTAACGTGTACATAGTCAAGAATTACAAAAATATGTTAGGTTGGCTCATATCTTGTCTTTAAGATCATTTTCAATGGTTCATTAAATTTAAATTTAATGAACCATTGAAAATGATCTTAAAGACAAGATATGAGCCAACCTAACATATTTTTGTAATTCTTGACTATGTACACGTTACACGATACTCTAAAACTATAACTCAAAAAAAAAAAATTAAAAATAAATCCTGTGTACCTAGTGACCACAGTATGTATGATATGGCGACAAAGGAACCTTCTGCATGTCCAAGCATTACTGTTTTTTTTTTTTTTTTTTAACTATCAATCATATTTTGCCTCTAGTAATTTTACTTAAAATGTTAATATCTATAAAAATATTCAATTGCATAACATCAAACAAATTGAAGGATGCATCAACATAGTAGACACAGAAGAAAGAAGTTTCGAGTTTAGAAGTGGGTTTTTTTATGGGAACCAGTCTAACACTTTGTGAAACCAAGATCAATTACCTCTCTCATTGCTTTCTTGTTTAATTTATGCAGTTGTTCATGTAAGCAAAAACAATCTCTTTCATAAATCAATAAAATCTAAAAGAGGTAATCTAGGTTCCAATTTAGGCAGGGCATATAAAGATGTCAAACATTTGTTCATAATTCAAACTGCCAGACTCATAAGGCTTATAAGGAAATAAGCAATTGGACAAATGACAAGTTTCAAATATCGATATTACTCACAGTGATTGGTTGGTTGGTTCGCTCTGGAGCTCTGCCCTACACAGTCCATGAACACAAATGTAACGCCCTCAAAATAATAACATTAAACCCATCGAATAAGACATGCATTTACATTTAAGTTAACCGCATTCCTTTCATTCATTAGAATTCCAAGACATAAGTATTACATGTTAACATCATAACAAAATGCCCTACGGGCTTACAGCTTTCCAAG